TAAGACAGAAAATCAGCCTGCGTCATTCACCTGGGCCAGTGAAGTGCTGATATAAGGGATATTAGCAATCTAGGCATTAAGATGGGTGCTTGGTTGAGGAACATGGCTCCCAGATATGTGTGTTTGGTTCTCAGAGGAAGAAAGGGAGGAAAGGTGAGTGAAAACAGGTGGATGAGTGGTGGTGTGGGGGAGTACAGAAGCAAAGAGAAGGAGAGCAATGAAGAAATGGAAATGTTTTTAGAAAAAATATCATCCAGTTTGGCCATAAGCCTCACCATTCCCTAATGTGCTGCCTCAACTCCATCACACATTTTGTCATTTTCTTGGCTTCCAAAGGCAGTAATTCTTATATCTACTCTCAATTTTTTTAACAGATAAGGAAACAGGAACCCAAGTTTATTAATTTGCCTAAGGTCACATAGATGCTTTTCAGCAAAGCAATAGTAAGTTCAGTGTCCTGACTCCTGACTCTACATTCTCTGCTCTGACTCCATCAGATTTTCCCCCACAGATTCAATCTAGAAGTGGAAACACCAAAATGTTAAAAGAGAAAAGTGCACGGGGTCGGCTGGGAGCAACATATAAAATGTACATAGAATATAAATTCTGTGCTCCTGTCATACTACAAGTTTGTTTTCTTTTTCTTCATAGCCAACCAAAAGTTGGCTGGGAACTAGGTTAAGGTATACAGGCACTGTTGAGAAAGCTGTCTTCCATACCCAGCCCTGCAGCAACACAGGAGACAAAATGCTGATAGTAAGATGCAGACACTGAATTCCCAGTAATTTCTCCCCTTTTTGATATCATATTCCAACATTCAAATGTGGACAATTTAAAACAGAGCCTGGATTCCGAGTTACTCTGGCTTGTCTTACCCTGTTTTCGCTATAAACTAGCTTGTTTCATACTTTGTGGCCTTGTACAATGATTTGTTGAATTTAACAGAGGAAGGGTATCTTCCAACCTCTCCAGTAACAAATGTAGTTCTCAGCCATTCTGTGGGTTTATTGAGTAAATTAACACCTAACCATGCTACTAGGAGACACCCAAATAATTTCTGGTTCTAGCACCCAGGACACCAAGGCTACTCCCACGTTTTACTACACTAGAAATGTTCAGATCATGTACATTGTACAAATATAAATCTAAGCAACAAGTCTTCACTTTCTTTGCCAGAAGTCTCATTTTAAAAGAGAATCAGTTAACCTCTCCAATATCTTACAGAGGGGACACAGGCAACCCAAAGTAAGAGATATTTCCAGAGGGCTCAAACAGTGCATACAAATGAAGAGTATAATGGAAATGATGAGAGGTGAGTGTGGAGTATGCAAATAGGGTTCCTACTTCCATGGCTGCTCCAGGCTCATCAGAGTCAGGGACAGGTAAAGATTGCACCCAAGTTTTTAAAAGTGAAAAAGTAAACTGTGGCTTTGTTTTCCTCATCAGAATGTCAAGTTCTTAATACACTATAATTATAAATGTACCAGGATTTTATTTAAAGTAATGAGGAAAAGCTATGAAAAATGGAAGTACTATCATGGAAAGCTGTGAATGCATTTTACATTTTCATATGGCTACTTCCTGACTGAATATAAAGGTGGGGATGTCAGTAATGATGTAGGTATATATTCTGAAGCCAGAGGAATAATGGAGGAGTGAGTGAGACTGTTTATCACCTTTCCATTAAACGTGAACTAGATGAAGCTTGGAAAAGTATTGGTGGATACAGGAAACCAAATACATCAATAAAACTGAACCAAAGACAAATAAAAGAACTTTAAACTGCATTTTGTCTGTATAGTTACACAACTCTTAAATTAATAGGCATAAACACTCAAAATAATGAAGTTCCACAAACAAAATAACTGTACCATACTTTGTGTATTCAGGAACAAAAATTTTACCTTAAAGGGAGCTATCCTATTTAATAGTGGTAACTTACATTTGTGAAGAACTTCTTTTTGTGCTAAGTTCAGGGTTAATTCTGCTTTTTTTTCCTTCTGAAACTATTGTATATAAATGCACATAAAAGAATTAATGTTATTAAACAAATAATGCATCCTGAAGATCCAAGAAAAACTTCAGGTTCTGTTTCTTGACTCACAAATGAAATAATGACTAAAAATTTTTTTTAGTCTTTAGCTTTCTAAATCTCTTCTATTTGTTCTTGGTGAAGTGTTTTCATTATCTTTTACTGCTACCACTTTAAATTCTAAATTTATTTAAATTATCTTTGAATAAACTCTTCATTCTATAATCATTGAAAACAGTAGCACTCATATCAAAAATATTACCATAAGCCTGTTTGAAATGAATCCCTTTACTGCATGAAGATACCTAATATTAAATAGTCCTCAATGGTGACAGAAAGGCTCAGAATAAGGTCAAAGGAGAAACATTAGGAGAAACTATCAATGGAAAACAAACATCCTTTACCAGTCTAAAATACAGGACAAAATCATTCTTATAATCATGCACAGGATTTTTCTTGCTTACAAATAAAAAACTTAGTGCTTATTTCTTAAGAACTTTTGTAATGCTGAACAGCTGATGAAGTTATTCATTAAGACAATTCCTGGGCTGGTACCGCGGCTCACTAGGCTAATCCTCCGCCTAGCAGCGCCGGCACCCGAGGTTCTAGTCCCGGTCGGGGCGCCGGATTCTGTCCCGGTTGCCCCTCTTCCAGGCCAGCTCTCTGCTGTGGCCCGGGAGTGCAGTAGAGGATGGTCCAAGTCCTTGGGCCCTGCACCCGCATGGGAGACCAGGATAAGTACCTGGCTCCTGCCATCAGATCAGCATGGTGCGCCGGCCACAGCACGCCGGCAGCGGCGGCCATTGGAGGGTGAACCAACGGCAAAGGAAGACCTTTCTCTCTGTCTCTCTCTCTCTCACTGTCCACTCTGCCTGTAAAATAAAAAAATAAAAAAAGACAATTCCTTGGGGTTGGCGCTGTTGCACAGCGGATTGAAGCCCTGGCCTGAAGCACTGGCATCACAAATTGGCGCAGGTTCTAGTCCTGGTTGCTTCTCTTCCAATCCAGCTCTCCGCTGTGACCTGGGATGGTAGTAGAAGATGGCCCAAGTCCTTGGGCCCCTGCACCCATGTGGGAGACAAGGAAGAAGCTCCTGGCTTTCGATCGGCGCAGCTCCGGCCATTGCGGACATCTGGGGAGTGAACCAGCGGAAGAATGACCTCTCTCTCTGTCTCTACCTCTCTCTGTAACTCTGTCTTTCAAATAAATAAAAAAGTAAAATAAAAAGATAATCCCTTTACTTCTGCAACTTAACTATTGAGAATGTTGAATTTTTTAACACTATTGATAGATGCAACAATAAATAATAACTCTAACAAAGTCTAGAGTCATAGGAAGATAAACTTTCTAATCTCAAAACAAATCTTCACTTGGCTGCAAGCACCAAGCATAAATAGCAGCTAACATTTTGAGTGCTTGTGTGTCAAGCATTTATTTTTACTCTTATTTTCCAGCAAAATCATCTGTAATTATTTTTTCCCCCAGTAATCCAGGGGCTCCATGGGGATAGGAACTCTGTCTCGTTCCTTATTTGCATTCCCAGCACCTACTATGCCTAACACATAGTAGACACTGAATTAATATTTACTCAATAGCGTCCCACATGCCTTATATAATTTCTCAAACTTGGGTCATTACGTAGAGGGTTATGAAATTGCCACAAAATAGAAAAGTGTATTAGATCTAGTAGAATAAAAATTCTTTGATGAAATCTTTTAGTTTATTTGTATGTGTCCTATATACAATGTATTTCTGTCTGTGGGTTCCATTTTAAAACAGCATGAAAATCAGCGTTTTACATGGATTATTTCATTTGCTCCTCATGGTAGCCCTGAAAACAGCACTGTAACTTCCACTATAAAAGAACTGAGAATTCTAGAGGTTATATATCTTGTCCAAAATGACAGAGCTATCAACAAGTACGGGCATCATTTCAACAAATAATCACTTAAAGTGTACCGTATTGAAAAATTCTGAATTGATAACAGAAAGTTTCAGTAACAGTAATTATGCCTTGGTTAACAAAGAAAAACAGGCTTTGAAGACAGGCCTTAGTTCAATACCGAACTCTGTCACTATACAGCTGTGTGGGCTTTGGCCTGACTTAACCTTTCTGAACTTTGATTTCCCCACGTGCAAAATAGGGGATACTCATCAAACTGTTTTGTTTTAAATGATTTGCTGCATGGAAACAGCCTAACCAACCAATCGAAGTTGTTGTGGTTAATTATTAGTGAGTTTCCCCCTTAGTCCTATATATTCAGTCCACTATGCCAAACCTGAACGTGTAACGTGTTAAGTCAGGAATTCAGTGGATTAAAAAGCAAAGCATGGCAACTGAGTGAGAGTGGCACAGAGCGGTTCTAAGTTTCAGCTGGCCCAGGCTGAGAAAGCTGCCCAAAGTGATAAGATCCGGAGTTGGTTCAGGTAAGTATGGGAATCAAAGACAACAACTCTGGCACAGCGGGTTAACGCCCTGTCCTGAAGCAAAACCAAATAGGGGCGCCGGCATCCCATATGGACACTGGTTCCAGACCCGGCTGCTCCACTTCTGATCCAGCTCTCTGCTATGGCCTGGGAAAGCAGTAGAAGATGGCCCAAGTCCTTGGGCCCCTGCACCTATCTGAGAGACCCAGAACAAGCTCCTGGCTCTGGCTTCGTATTGGCACAGGCTGTTGCGGCCAATTGGGGAGGGAACGACCGGATGGAAGACCTCTGCCTCTCCTCTCTCTGTGTAATTCTGACTTTCAAATAAATAATCTTTAAAAAAAAAAAAAGACAACAACTCTGCTTAATCATAAAAACAGCAGCAAACTAGTTCATCCTCGTCAAAGACCAGTAACATCCATCTTCTTCCTCTGCAGCCTGGCTGGGCTGAACCGAGGTGTCCGTTAAGGCACCTGGTCTGCTCCCGCCTAGTAGGCCCTGGATACCTAGGGCCTAGGCACAGAGGTTCGGAGCAACTCACCCCGGAGACTCCGTTGATACTTCCCCAGAATCTCCTCCAGGGAAGAGTTCCCTGGGGACTTCGCCATGCACAGACTCTGGGCCAAGAGATGCGAGTTACGTGGGTTATCGTCCAGTGTTCTCCCTTCCAACAACAGCCCTAGCGCCCGCCCGCCTCCTGCCGCAACTGTCACTGGGGAGCCTGGAACCACGGACGCAGCTCGTGGGGTCTCTTCCCACCCTCGAGCCCTCGTGATGGACATTGGGAGTTGTAGTTCTAAGGCTCTGGCTCTACAGCCTCGAGAATCCTAAGAACCTTCCAGCTGCACTACATTTCCCAGAGGGCACTGCGCTCCTGGCGTTGGCTTCGGCGGTTTGGCTACCACAGATCGTTGCCACGAGACCGGCTTGCGGGCTCCTCCCTTTTCCTCTAAGCCAGCCTGGCTAGTCCCGCCTTCACCCTGTCCTGCAGCAGTCCGGACCACCCGGCTGACAGAAAGGACTTTCTGAAGGCCCGGACGCTTCGATCTTTACTAATATGCAATTGATCCTTCAGGCTTCTCTGGGAAGCGAATAATCTCTGAACCCTCCTTCGGTCGCGACATTTGTCAAAACGGTCCAATTCTTAAGAAATAAGAAACTCTAACTCTCCCAAACAGCCTGGCTTGTAAAGGCGGCCAACACTACAACTCCTAGCATGCCAAGCAACCCGACCTCCTCTTGCAGTTGGCGCACTGCCCGCCGGGAATTGTAGTCCTCGTTGGTTGCAGGTCCCCGCTAGAGCCAGAGTTCTCTTCATTGTTCAGGCCGGTCTTTGGGGACACGCCTGCGCAGTGGGCAGCAGGCAAGGCGTGTGAGACCCTCCGCACAACCCCCTTTCATTGTCTGTGTCTGGCGCCTGCGCAGTAAGAGATCGCTGGGACTGGGCTGGAGGAGTGGATAGGGCCCAGCACCTCGCCCTTTCCCCAGGCGCCTGCGCAGTCAGCGACCGCTCTTTGCCGTTACCGCTATGTGTGGGGCGTGTGTGGAATAACGTTATTGCCCTGCGGAACCGAGGGGCCGGGAGCTCGACCGCAGCTGCAGCGACGAAGGCAGCAGCGGCGGAGACGACGACGACGACGACGGGGTGGGGGAGAGGACGGCGTGCGAGAGACTCACGGGACGCGACGCGCCCCGCCTCCCCCGTCCGGTCCCTCTCTCTTCACGGTGAGGGGTAAGTGATGCGCTCCGCTGCCTCGGGGTGGACGCCGCCGCCGCCTCTGCTTTTCCACAGCCTGCTCGGATTTGCGCCGGGGGCTCGGGGCGCGGCCCCTGGCGTGGCGGGGGTGCAGGGAGAGCCTTCCCGGATGCTCCGCGCGGCGTTACCACCCCCATCGCCCAGGACCTGGGGCTCGGCGGGGCCGCTCCTCCCATCCCCCCATCCTTGATGGCCTCCGGTCCTCGCTCCCCACCCTCCGCCGTCGTCTGGGTCCTCCCGGGCCCGTGGCCGCGGTCTCCGCCTCCCCTAAGTGTACTGAATCGCTTGCAGCTCCCTCCCGGCTTTGTGCAACCCTCCCCCATCGTTGGAGCAGTTTGCGAGGGGTGCGGGCGGAGCATCGGAAGGAATGGCTGCGCTGCCGCTGGGGAAGGGATTTTTTTTTTTCCCCAGTGGGAGCAGCTCCCAGGGCCGAGTCTTTTTGTGTGGTTGGATTTTGGGGTATGAGGCAGTCGGGGGAGGTCAGGCGAGGGCCCTTTGCACGCGTTGGGAGGGCGTGGAAGACGCGGTGTCACGCACCCTGCCAGGCGACTGCACCCGGGGTACATCTCTAGCTGGCTGGATTGTGAACCCCGGGGAAGGGAGAGCGACTTCCTGTCGGCTTCATTGTCCTAAGATTCAAATACAGCGTTTTGGGTCCGCTTCCCTTCCATTTTCTGCGAGGGGGAGAAATACTAGCAGTGTCTTAACACCGGGCGGGAAGACGTGGGATTCGTCTCCCCAGTCGCAGCATCTCTGTTTTGTGGCGTTCGGTAGAGTTTTGATTTATTTTGTCGAAGAATGTGGGGGAAGACACGGACCGTGCTTGCCAGAGTGCACGCACTGTCAAGGTGATCAATGTAAAATTACTAGATGACGTTGAAGGCTGGGCGAGAAGGGGCCTGACAGCCGAGCGGGTGTGTAGCAGGGAAATGAACCAGGAGAATTGTTTTTTTTTCCACTGGGTGGGTAACGCATGCATGGGTCCTAAGGGAATAGATGAAGCTACGTCTTTCCCTTTTATGTTTTAAAGCAATCCAAACAAAAATAAGGATTGGTGTATTTGTTTCTGAAGCTGTTTGCTCATTTTTATTCTCTTCATGAAAATTCAGCCGTTTGGGAGGAATTTGGTGAAGTGGATGATCCATGCGATTGAAAATGCGTCTTTTAAAATGATTTGCTTGTTAGGATTGTAATGCTTGTAACCATTTGCTGGCGTCTCTGTGTAAAATAAGCCCAAGAAAGAATGAAGTAGGCTGGGGGAGAAGATGGAGGAGTAGTGTGAGTTATATTATAAATACAGTTTCTAGATCTTTACTGATACAACCCTAATTGGGTAAACTTCAAAGCCAGGAAGAAATTCAGCTATCAAATTGTTTTGTAGTTTTCTGCCATTATTTTTTTGAAAAGTGAAAACCAGCACTGTTCTTAGTTCTTCCTAACTTCATAGATACTGTAGAATTTTGCTTTTTTTTTTTTTTAAACGGAACAGTCGCTTGAAAAAAACTAAAACTCACTGATTTGTCTGCCCAAGCCAATGTGCTAACAGAAAGCACAGTCAAATAAAACCAAGGTCTGTTCTACAGAGTGATCTTTACTGTGTGCCCTCACCTTCCACCCTGTGAACATTTATGGAAAGCTTCTGTACTTTTTAATTTGTGTGTAACAGTAAACTTAATTCTCTCACTTGTATTAATCTAGTCCTTCTTTTTGTGATGTAGAAGTAGTAATTCTACTGAAACTGAATTTTAGCTTTACAAAGTAACTTACTAATAAGGGAAGATACCCTAACAGTTCTTTTCATGAAAACAAACTGTTGGAATGTTTTCACTTCTACTTATTAGTAACCATATTTTAATATTATTTCTTGAAATTTAATAGTATTTTATAATATTATGTTCAACTGTGAACTGTTAAAAATAATATTTCTCCATACTAAAAAGCTATGAAGCTTATTTTTCTATGATTAATGAATTTTATTGTTTTCAACTTAGAGTTTCCCTTTGAGAAATGTCATCTTTCTGTTTTTAATTGGGTCGACTTTATAAAAAAAAAGGGGGTTTTATTTATGTCAACTCATAATTTCAGTTCTTTAATTCTGCATTGCATTTTAATAGATATTTTCTTTAGAATTTATTTCACTTTAATTTCAATTTAAGAAGCCTCTGTCATTAAGTTCAGTATGGGGAATCATATTGAAACTTTAAATGCATTTTGCTGGTAAATTTCATGGTGTTCCAAAATTATTTTGTATGGAAATAATCTGCATGTTTCCTGTCCTATTTATCTGTAAACATAAGCATACACTGTGTGTGTGTGCGTGTGTGTGTGTATGTATGTATGTATGTATGTATTAAGGTGCTTTTTGAAACTCTGTACTTGGTGATTTGTTTCATTTGTTCTAAGCATCAGTTTCATGTTCCTTTTACCTACCGGAAAAAAGTTTTATTGTTATATTTGATAATAATTAATGTTCATTACCAAATACTGTATGTATTTAAGGTTTTGTGAACATGTTTTTTATTCAACAGAAATCTGTTCCTGAAAAATACTTCATACTATTTTAATCAATATGTAATGATTTTTTCTTCTGTATCTTAAACATCTTGGGGTTAAATAGTGTGCTAGTGTAGTAAATATCCAACCGAAACTGTGATGTTTCATTACCAACTAAAATGTCTTTCCAGTTGGAGATTATTCTGCAGATGTAATAAGAGAGTAGTTACATATCATCTGAAAAATTATTGATAAGTAGGTAATATTGGCTTGATCACTAAATGTTGACCTGCTTCTGTAAGAAATTTCTCCCTACTAGGGAGACCAACTTTATTTCATTATACATTGTTAATAACACAAATTTTTAATAATCAACTATCCTTGACAAAATGGGATTTGATTTATTTACTCAAATATTTCATAATGAGTGCATTCAGCAGTGAGAACCATTGTGAGGGGAAAAAATTAAGAAAACATGTCTAGTAGAGTGGTTGATAAACTGGATATACCGTCCACTTTAGTTAAAATGATTCTGCAATTTTTTTTTTTTAGCTGAATGTGTTGTTACTGGAAAAGCCCACTTTTATGTCAGAAGTAAAAAAGAAACCAACAAAGGCACAAGGTTAAAGAAAAGCTAATAAAAATTATATTAAGAGGGATTGCACGGAGCACACAAGTGAAAAAGAAGTCCAAGGCTGCCTTGTTTAGATTTGAAAAACCAATGAGACATAGCACAGAACAAGTAATTATTTAGGTATATCAATAATTAATAAATGATGTAGAAAATATTATTTTCAAAGATTTATTTATTTATTTGAAAGGCAGAGTTACAGAAGGGAGAGGCAGAGAGAAAGCAGAGAGAGAGAAAGGTCTTCCATCCTCTGGTTCACTCCCCAGATAGCTGCAATGGCCAAAGCTGCATTAATCCGAAGCCAAAAGCCAGGAGCTTCTTCCAGGTCTCCCAGGCCAGTGCAAGGGCTCAAGAACTTGGGCAATCTTCTGTTGCTTTCCCAGGCTATAACAGAGAGCCGAATTGGAAATGGAGCAGCCAGGAGTTGAACTGGTGCCCATATGGGATGCAGGCTGCAGCTTTACCTGCTAAGCCTCAGCACCGGCCGCGGAACATGGTATTTATTGAACAAATGAATAACACATACCAGGTATTGAGTAAGTGCCAGGCATTGTGTGTTTATGTGCATTTACATTTTATTTATTCTACAGTCTTATAAGATGTTTTACACGTTCAAAGTTGAAAAAATTTGAGGAACAGAGTTAGAGTTAGTGAACAGCTTTGCCTGTGTGTCACATACTACTAAGTGGGAGAGCCTATAACAGAACTTTTGTCATTTTGACTAAACACAAAATTGTACTCATCTCTTTTACTAAGTTAGATGGGGAACATTTATCCCTTATTCTGATGCATAAAATTTTAGAATTGAAGGCAGCTGTGGAAGTCATGTTATACAATATGCCACTCACTACTAATATCTGTGAGATGTTTCTGAATCCTGCTTTTCTGTGAACACTTCCATGAGCATAAGAAATCTTATTTAATTTTCACAAAGTTTAATACATCTTGCTTAGCTTGAACAGGCATCTGCTTTACTACAAGTTCTGCTAGTTGTAGTTCTGTCTTTAGGAGTAAGACACATTAAGGTGTTTTTTATTTTATTTTATT